TCCAGTCTAAATCTGCTCTCTGCTAGCTTATGGCCATTATTTCTTGTGACACCCAGGGGCGCCTTGTTGAGTAGGGCCTCACCAATTCTGTTCTGCGCCCCATGATGAATTTACAGGCAGCCACAAGGTCGCCTCTCAACCTTCTCTTGCCAAGTCTGAAGAGGTCCAGGTGCCCTAGTCTCTCCTCATAGGGCTTGGCCTGCAAGCCCTTAACCATACAAGTGGCCCTTCTCTGGACCCTCTCCAAGTTATCCACATCCCTCTTGAAGTGTGGCACCCAAAACTGTATGCAGTATTCCAACTGCGGTCTGACCGGCATCCGATAGAGGGGAAGTATCACCTCCTTGGTTCTGTTTGTCATGCATCTGCTGATACAGTCTTGTTACAGTCTCTTTGTCTGTATGCATGTGTCTCATTGTTGATTACTTTTAGCAGTCACTGGATAATTAGCAATTAAGATACAGAGGTGTTAAAGCAATAGATTTCTAATTGTTTCACATGTGCATCACACCTATTCACATTCACTATGGATGTTTTCTAATGCCAGTCATCAAAAATGAAATGAAGTCAAGGTATCAGATTTAAACTAATCCTTCCCTGTACACACAACCAGCCAGACACAGCCATAATTCTTCTTTTCTCCTGAGCGTAAGAACTGACACAGTTCAAGGCAGTAAGGGACAAAGGAAAAACAATAGTACAACACGTCCTTCCTACTGGCCAATACAATAGACTAGACACAGATGGGCGGGCACAGGCAACTTATTCTCTAAGAGAGAATCCCCTAGGGCAGGCATTCCCAACGGTTATGTGCACATTTGAATTTAAAAGCAGTGAGCGCCAATACGAATATTAAAGTTTAGAATTTAGATCAATCCGATCATCTCATCCATTACTTAAAATTGCATTAGATCCACAACTTCAAAATGCAGCTCCCTTTTACTTTGTATTCTTTTTAAGTTTTATCCATGGTGCCCATGGGCACCCCTTGGGAACTGCTGCAGGGTTTTCACTTCCTAGGAACTCCAAAAGACATAGCTCCTGACTGAAGTACAGTGCTTCCCAGAACTACTTCTTAGATAAGCACAACACTGTTTAATATATATATAGCAAAAAACCCCAATTCAATCTTTTTTCATAGTTTAGATTATTACCAGTTCATTCTTATACAACATCAGTCTTATTGTCCAATATTTAACTTGGTCTAAATGGTCTGACAACCTGCCTACTTCAGATTGCATTTCCCTGTGCCCTGTGATGGCTACTGTGCTGAGCTAAATGTTTTAGTGATTGCCCCTGCAAATATTTACTTTTCAAAACAAAGCTGATTTGAGTTTATAGCAGAGGTGGGTAAAATACAGCCTGCAGGCCAGATTCGGCCTGTGAGGCCATTCTATCTGACCCTTGGGGCCCCTAAAAATTTTAGACAATTAATATTTCTCTGTCTTTGGTTCCTGTAAAAAATGACAGGAACCAGGGGCAGTAGGACCCAGGGGAAGCCCAGTGGGCTTCTGCAATAGCAGGGCCCGCCCAGCCTTACCCCCCAGCCAGAAGCCCCTCCTGGGGCTTCTGCCCTGGGAGCAGGTGGCTGCCCCATGCCAGAACCTCAGGTAAGGGGGTGTGGGGGGGAAGGGCAGGGAAACAGCACCTGCCTCGTGGCCCACGCTCCCTGCTGCAGCTGCTCTTAGCCTGCATGGGGCTGTCCTGAGGAGGCACAGGCAGCCCCAGGCGGGCTGCAAGTGACTGCAGCGCTGGGCGCTGGCCATGGGGTGGGGGAGGGGCCACTCCCCCCCCCAGCACCAGCTTGTAATCCAGCCCCACAGGTAGCCCGGCCCCGTACCAGCTCTGTGCTTGCCTGTGGGCAGCAGCTGCAGCCCCACTGCTTGCTGTGCCAGGCATTGTTGGCTGCTGCCGCCTGCCCAGAGCTTGTGTGCTGGGCAGCCCAGAGGCGGTGGTGGCAAACACAGCCCAGCACGGCAGGCGGGGGGTCTGCAGCTGCTATGCACAGCCCTGATGGGTGAGCTGGGAGCTGGCACAGGGCCCAGGCTGGCAACAGGGGTGGGTTACAAGCTGGTGCTGAGTGCAGGAAAAGCAGCCCCTGCTCCACTTCTTGCCTGGCACCCCACGCTGCAGCCACTCGCAGGCGCCTGGGGCTGCCTGTGCCTGCTCAAAACAAAATGAGGGCAGGGGGTAAATGGCAGGATGCCCTGCTTGTGCCCCTTGCCCCACAGCCCTGCTCATGAACTAGGCAGGGGGAAGGGCATTTCACATTTTATAATGTACAACTAAGTTTTATATGACCTTTTTTTAAAGTGATTTCAATTTAAATTATGGCTCAAGTAAATTGACCTATTCATATGAGTAAAAGTTTTCAGGGCTGGGCCTATGTTACCAATTAATTATATTATTACAACTATATATAACTACATAGAGGTTAAGAAACTATGACAGAAACATTGGACTCTTGAAAGTCAGCCTTGAAAGTTCACATAATCTTTATACTCTTTTTAGTTTCTTATTTCCTATACAGCATAAATCAACGCAACAATTTAGTAATCCATTTTCAAGTGCTAATTCACTTTGGAATTAGCACCAATTTGGCAGTGAGTTGTTCTAGACACAGGAGGATGCCCTTAATTGAATAGGGTCAAGAGAAGAATACATTTAAATGCAAGACATCTAATTTAATCCAAAAAAATCAATTATATTGCAATCATGGTTGTATCAAAATTGACTACAAATCTGGAGTCTTTGAAACATTTTCCTGTACTTCCTTAAAGGAAACCTTTATTAATTTGCATGAAAATGAAACATTGTGTTGTCCCACTTGATAGAGCTATTGAAAAACCAGGAGTGGAATTTTATAGCAAGATACAGAGATTTGCAGTTTTTATTAAGCCTTTCAAGAATAGCAGTAAAATCACACTTTAATTTTGGTGGCATTACCTAAATGGGAGGTTCTTAATCTTTCCAGATCATAGAGCCCCTTGTTAAGTTTGTTTTACTGCTGTGTATCCTGCATGATTCCATGTTGTGGAAATACGGGCATCCCATATGTCTTTCATGATTCCCAGTATCTTGTGATTAACTTGCCTTTTACGACAATAAAGAGCATCTCCAAGAAAAATATGTGCCCAATTTATTAAGGGATGTCACCATCCAATAATCTTCCACAGATTGTGGGTAAATCTGGTATCTTTTATTAGACCAACTAAAATAGTTGAAAAAAATTCTTCTTTGCAAGCTTTTCGGTACAAACACCCTTTGTCAGGCTGAGGAAACGCCTGCAGTTCGTCTGTGCTCTTCCTGGATCCTGTTCCATCCAGGAAGAGCACAGACAAACTGGAGACATTTCCTCAGCCTGATGAGAGCTGTTTGTACCCGAAAGCTTGCAAATCATTTCCCCAACTATTTTACTTGGTCTAATAAAAGATATCGAATTTACCCAAAGAACCTTGTCAGCCTATGTCCTTAGACCAACACGACTACTAACTCATACCACTTTATGCTATGACACAGGAATTGCCATAACAATAAAATGCTTTTCTACCTAGTCTAATATGTCCTAACTCCTCCAGAGGCTACAAAGGATAAAGCAGGAAACTCAATTGCAGCTGCTACAGCATGATGCCTCTCTCACAAAGATCTTCCTAATTTAAAAAAAACAAAACAAAAAACCAAGCAGACATTGCCTAAAGCACCTCCTAAGTTTTGCTCACATTAACTATTCCGTAGCAACACTCTGGCTACTAGTTTACTAAGCAGAGCAAGCATTGAGTATCAAAATGGAGGCTGCCCCTTGAAATATAGAACGTCCTAAACCATACAGGCTCCTCCCAATATGCAGGCTCT